CAGAATTATTGGTGGCACTTAAACAATATTCTCCAGGGATTGTTGTCATCTTGGAGACAATGTTGGCGTATACACCTGACGGGACTTGCGTTAGTGGAAATGGTATTTTTCACAGACTCTTCTGGGCGTTTGAACCATGTATCAAAGGTTTTGCTTATTGTAAACCTATTATTCAAGTTGATGACACATGGTTGTACGGGAAATATAAGGGCACGCTACTCATGGCTATGGCACAGGATGGGAACAACAACATTTTTCCAATAGCCTTCGCTCTAGTTGAAGGGGAGACTGTTGAGGGTTGGAGTTTTTTCCTAAAAAATCTCCGCTTATAAATCTAACTTATGTTTGATATCTGATAGACACCCATCAATTGAGAGTGCATACAAGAACCTTGATAATGGTTGGCAGGATCCTCCCTCAAACCATTGCATAAGACATATCGCCCAAAGTTTCATGCGGGAAATCAAAGACAAAACACTAAGGAAGAAGGTTGTAAACGCAGGGTATGCACTAACAGAGCCCACATTTAAACACTACCGTGACGAGATCCGACTGACAAACACATATACATTAAGATGGATTGATAGTATTCATAAAGAGAAATGGACAAGGGCATACGACAATGGGGTGTGATGGTGTCATATGACAACTAACCTCGTTGAGTCAATGAATTTTATTTTCAAGGGAATCTGAAACCTACCGATAACTGCCTTGGTAAAGGCAATATATTTTAGGCTCAGGGAACTCTTTGATAATATATGTACAAAGCGGGGTTCAGTATTACAATCTGGTCAATTGTACAGTAATATTTCAACAAAATTCATGAAAGACGAAGCTGCCAAAGCCAACACACATGCGGTCACAACCTTTGACCGTAATAAAGGTTGGCTCAGTGTTGCAGAGTCAATTGATCACAATGAAGGAAGGCCTATGGGATGTTACCGAGTGGAACTGAATAGAAGTTGGTGTGATTGTAGAAAGTTTCAGGCATTTCGCATGCCTTGCTCCCATGTTATAGTAGCATGTTCGAAGGCGCGTCAGGATCCAGCCAACTATCTTTTTTCTGTTCAACAAGTGATAAGTCTATGAAATATCTATAGATGTAGCTTTCAAGTGGTGGCAAAGGAGGACTATTGGCCTCCACACGAAGTCAAAATTGTCTGGCATAATGATTTGATGCGAAGAAAGAAAAAGGGTCGCCTTAATAGCACGCGCATTCGAATGAAGATGAATGCAGCAAACAAAATGGTCAGATTATGTAGTTTGTGTCGGCAATCAGGACACAATCGTACAAAATGTCCCAATGTAGGATCAAGCACATGATCATAGTTTCTAATGTAACTGTGTCCCTTTAAATTAACAACAAATTTTATTCCATTGAAAGCATAGCTAAGCGATTACAATTAACAGCAACATAAATTAAACAAACATAACTTAATATCAAAACAACAATCCGAAAATAACAACAACATAACCTAATATCAAAATAACAATCCGAAAATGACAACAACATAACCTAATATGAAAATAACAATCCGAAAATAACAACAACAAACCCACATAAAACAACACAATGCGTCAACTTGTCTAGGATATCACAACCATCAAGGTAATCTTCTTTGGTGTTAACATCATCACAAGGACACCATCATCATTTTCCACTTTTCTTCAATTACGAGTAACTCCATTTCTCCCTAACTCCTCAACTAACCTCTCAATTTTCCTAATCTTTTCACCTGCAACAATATCTCCTTCTAGCCAGCGGTTCAGTTCCCAATGCAAATGCTCCAAAGTCTGTGTGTTCCACAGTAACACCTTCATCGGAGGCTTTGTTGCAGAAAAATAAACTAGGACATTTCTTTTCATTAGAGGAAATGTTGAAACGGTTCCTCCGATGATGATGACGACAACGATGAACGTTGATTTAGAAATGCAGACATTCTAGACTGATTTAAAAATCATGAAGAGTTGAGTATATTGGTGAAAATTATTGTGAAAAAAGAGATGAGTGTGCAGTCTTATTTATAGAAAAATGAAATAGTACAGACCACATATGATATGGCGTAAATACCCTTACAAATTCATGATGAAACAAAACACAAAACAAATAATTTAAATAAATAAAAAAGATGAAACAAAACACAAAACAATGAAACATCAAGAGATGAGTGTGCAGTCTTATTTATATATAAAAAAATTTACAAAATTTATTATTTCTTTTAATTATATCTTTTTTTTACAAAATATTAAATATGAACAAATTTTATTATTATTTTTAATTATATATATTTTTTTACAAAATATTAAATAATATATATAAAAATAAGCCCTACAATTGAGGCGCCATATGGTATGACGACTCAGCTGTAGGGTAGGGTTTGTGTTTTTAAGGGTGATCCCATATGAAATGGGGACTCAGGTCAAGGTGATTTTGATCAGCCATTTCATATGGTGACTCAGATCAAGGTGATCTTGATCAGTCATTTCATATGACGACATAATGGGGAAACATGACCACTTTTGTAATTTTTAGAATTTTATATTTAATTGGTATTTTTATTTAAAAATAGTGTTATTTTAAAAAAAAAATCCCATATCCCCTTGTCTGAGCGAGGTCATTATGACCATAACGACTTTCTCTTTTTGTATGTATATGATATTGTCATGTCTGCTTGTCTCCTGGTGTATGCTATGAGCTCTTGCAGAGTCAAGTCAGTAAAGTCGGGTTGATCTCTTGAACTAACTTATCTTTGGGTTGAGCTCGGCGCTAGCTTTTGAATATTCTCAAAACTTCATGTGTGTGGACAGACACAAACTTATATAAACATATTAGTACACAGTTTTTCAAGCACGGATCCGTAGACACAAAATGCTTTAAGTAATAAACTCCAGCATTGCACTTCTCTGACTTAAAATTTTAAGTCGCTTTTCATGGTTTTTCCGAGACTCCTGCTTAGATGGATGAAGTTGGACGAATGTATGCGTATGTATATATATTTCATCATGGTTATGAATAAAGTCTAAATATGAAGGAATGATCCAATGTTTTTTTTAATCCAGGAAAACTCTAAGATTCATTTGATTTAAGTAATGACGTGAAATATAAGTTAATAAGAGAATGATTTGGTTCTGATTAAAAACCAAATGCCGCACCTACTTGAATTTGAACCAAGGACATATTCTCTTAGTAAGCAAATTTTAATTATTTTTTAAATATATTAAATAATTAATATATCTGATTTATATATAAATCAAATATATTAATTATTTAATATATTTAAAAAAAGAATTTTACTTAATATGAAATAGAAAGAGTATTGGACTAAGGGCACGTGGACCTTAAAGGATGCAACCGAATCAAATATAATGTTTTGGATTAAAACTTGAGCAGTAATATTCATGATTTAAAGGATGCTCCTCCTCGTCTAATGACATGAATTTCTTTAAAAATAAATATATTTTATGCGCCGATAGTATACAAATGTATTAGTTTAAGAGACCAAAATTATGTGAAATTATTTTTTAATCATTCATATATTTTCTAGAGCACCAGAATAAATAAGTAAAATTTATTCAAATAAAAAATCATTGATTGGTCATTTGATGTGAATGAGTAATTTATACTAAATTTTCTAAATTATCTTAAAGAAGATTCGTGAATTTATCAATTTGCATTAAATTCTTTTATAATAGAGACAAATCAAACCTAAAATTTTAATTCAAAATTCAACTATCTTTAGATTCAATTTATATTTTATTTGTGATTTATATTAAATTCTACTACTTAAAAAATATGATAACAACTCTCTTTAATAGTAAAAAATAAACAATTAATTCATATAATTTATTGAATTTATGAAATTTAAATTTTTTATTTTTGTGATTAGTTTGTAGCTGCAACTTTGATGGAGAAACGAACTCATGTTTGTTTATCTTTTTGTTGATCATAAATAAGGGAACCAAGAAGCATTGTCAAGTATGGTTGTCAAGATCTCGATCTAGATCTTAAAATCTTAAGATTTTACAATTTCATTCATTCCCAACGATCCGGATCTTAAGTAGAATTCTATGTTGTAGCCAATTTATGGAAAAAAATCGCAAAGTCATTGATTTCATGGGATCTTTGCCCATTTCGACTACGAATGGCTGTTTTTCAGCCACTATCATTAAAAGGTGAGAAGGATGATAAGATGCAGAGGCACAACAATTTTGGTTCGACGGGGATAAATGCGTGCCTTTTAAAATTATGAAGTTTTAGATTTAGGGTTTTGAGAATAAACATCTCACCTATAGGGTTTGTTTTAACTAATTTACTTATAATAATCCTAGTAATTGATCAAATATTTCTTAATGTCGAACAAATATTTCATGTGGTAGTAATAAAATATAAAAACGTAATCATACATATCTAAAGAATATAAAATACAGTCATTTTCTCACGAACATACCTGTCTACTAATATATATCATATAAAATTACTTTAAATATATACTATTATTTTTTTTATTTTAGTAGGATCTTATGATTTTTGTTGCAATCTTATGTTTTACGATCTTGTTACCCTCTCTTAATCTTACAAAAATAATAGAGTAGGATATTCCGATCTTAGCTACGATTTTATATTTTACGATCTTGATATTCTCTTTCGATCTTATGTAAGATCTCGATTTTGATAACCTTTCTGTCATGCAATAGTATAATTCGAATATATAAACTGTAATAGTCATAATTGTAGCAATAACTAGTAACTACCTCTCCATATAACCATGAAAAAAGTTAAATCAATTATGGTAATATTTTACCATGCAATGTACAGAGACAGATGTATAAGCATATATGTATAATGTATTATTGAATGATATAATAATACAACATAGAAAACTCTTTTATTCGATAACAGATAACAAAAATACAATGGAAAAGAATACCACTGGTTTATTTTGGACATGAATTTGCTGCACTAAAATAAATGCAGTCACAGTGCTCGGCAAAATTTATTTTCAATTGCCTGCTCCAATCTGGTTTTCAGATGGCACTGCATCAACTAAAGATTCATCTATAGGATGACCGAAATCGACCTTATTGACATCGCCAAGAGAGCTACAGTTTTGAGGATCACTCTTCTCCATGAAGTTACATCCTTCATATGAAAGCTTGAAGTCAGAAGGATCAGACTGACCAATCTGCTCAAATTGCATGGATTCAGGTTGGTTGCTTTCCACTGCATGATTAGGTACCAGTTCAAGAATATTGGCTATACTGGTACTTGGTTTTCCGTTTGAGTTTGAGATGTTATCGACGTTGCTCAAAGTATCAATAGAAACAGGTTTTGTCTTTGTTGCATATTCATGTAAATCGGTTTCGGGCAAGGTCTGCTTCTCAAAAATTTCAACAGATTTATTATTATGTTGTTCGGATGGCATGGATTCGGGTTCAGCAGATGCAGGAACCAAGTTGAGTTCAATATTTGAATTATTCGGTTGGTTATGAACCAACTCATTCAAATGATTCACGGAAGGAAATTCTTGATGTTGATTTCTTAGCTCGCTAATAGTGTTTTCAATTGTTGGCAACAGGTTCATAGTTTCTGATGCAGGCCGTGGTTCAGCACTGGGTTCTTCTACCTGCGTGGATGCATCGAGTTCATGATGCAATTTATCCCTTTGTTCAACAGTTTTGTCACATTCCATCTCGGATATGTTTGGTGGAACTGAGATGCCAGAATGAACCTCTGCCGGTGGAAGAAGGTGCACTCCAGGAAAAGGCGTCAGTATGTGTGGCTCGATAGATTGCAATGTGGGAAGAGAAACGTGTACTTCATTAGTATGAGGGTTTGGCATTGACATTGGAATTGGAAAGTCTTTTCTTTTGATCATTTGAACATGAGGGGCCACATCATTTTCTGCGGTAACTGGAGTAACTTGACCTGGAAGAAACACGACGCCTCTCAAAAAAGAATCAGAATCTGCCACCTTAACATTAACAAGATATCCATCACTGAATGATGCTTCAATGACACCGGTGACCATCTTCCCTAACATTCCACTGTCGGAGTTGTTCATTATGCCGGCTGATTGGTTGAAGTTCAACATATTCTCAGGTTTATGCACTCCATGGATTACATTCTCTTCTTTTCGTGGTCGGCCACGTTTTCGTTTCATTGGAACATTTGATGGAAGGCCAGGTCCTTGATTCTGTTGGTTCATTTTTCACAGCAGATATTGAAATTTCTGAAAAATATCACAAGAAGTAGTCTATCATTTGTTTGAACAAAGAATAAAAAAAAAACATGGATCACTTTGAGTAATAAAATAATAGTGGTGTGGGCAAATAGCAAATTCATTTAGATTGAAAAATAAAATAAGTATATATGTGTATTGATCCAAATCAAAGGTGTGGCAGACCAAGAAGCGGACACGCCCTAAAGGCACATAGGATCAAACTGAACGCCTCCTTACAATCATTTAGACGGAGAGATTCACATAATCTCCACACACCTGTCCTACGAGACAGTTGTCCTAGAGAAGGTTCTAGGAGCTTTAAATTCTAAATCTTAATTATAACGATTAATAAAGGACTCATATTCAGGTATAAACTATTTTAAAATCATAAACTTCATAATCTTGGTCTCTACTAGTTTGATTGTCAAAGTATTTACAAGTAAACCCTTCATTGCAATGTATGAAATGCTTAATTTTTTTTTTAATGAAATTACATTCTATATTCTATATACTCTATCCTATTTTTGTTTAGACGAAATTATGTGTTTTTAAATCTCGTCTCTAATTTATTATTTAAATATTCTTTCAACTCTATAAGTAGGACTATATCATTTGTAAAGAACATGCATCTCAGTGCTAGCTCTTAAATGTGTTTCGCGAGTATTCAAAATTAAAATAAAATGGTAAGTGCTTAGAGTTGATCCTTGATACAAACTTATTATAATAGAGAAATCGTTTGTTTTCCACCTTGTGGCCATGCCCTAGTTGATACTCATTCATACATACCTTGGGTAGCTCGAAAATATGCAATCATAACCTCTTTTATCTCTAGGGCTTCCATAAAACCTCTCTAGGCACTCTATCATACACCTTCTCTAAATCAATAAAAACTAAGAGGAAGCCTTGTTGGTCCATCTGATACTGCTCGATCACATGTCGTAATAGATAGATCGCTTTCATGGTCGACCTTTCAGACGTAAAACCAAATTGATTCTCAGTACTTAAGTCTCTTTTCTAAGTCTTTGCTCAATCATAAATTTAATCCCTCTATAATTTACACAATTTTGTATATCCCCCTTGTTCTTATAGTTTAGAACAGTAGTGTTTCTTTTCTATTCATCCAGAATTTTCTCTGACCTCATAATTTCATTAGAGTTTGGTGAGTCATTAAATCTCTCTCTCTCTCTCTCTCTCTCTCTCTCTCTCTCTCACACACACACACACACACTCACACACGTAGAACTTTCAATATTTCAATAGGTATATTGTCTGGCTCAACCACCTTACTGTTACTCATCATTTTTCAACGCTTCATTTACCTTTTGTTTCTGAATTCAACGGTGGTAATTATAGTTTCGATCCTTTTTGCTAATGTCAAGCATTGTAGATTTCAGTGAGATATCATATCCTTCATTAAATAAAATTTAGAAATACGTCTTTCACATATTCTTTTTATATTTTTCCTAAACCAAAAACTTTTCCTTCTTCATCTTTGACATTCTTCACTTAATTCAAATCTATTGTCTTTCTCTCAATTCCCTTAGCAAAACCTATATATAGATTTTTCTCCCTCCTTGGTTCCTAAATATTGGTATAATCCGTCAAAAGTTTGGGTTCTTGCTTCACTCGCCTCCTTCTTGATGTCATTCTTAGATTTGTTATACTTTCCCAAGTTTCACCATTTTTACACCTAGACTATTCTTTAAAACAATCTTTTTTACTCTAACTTTATTCTGAACACTTTCATTCCACCACCATGATTCTTTACCCATAAGTCAGAAACATCTTGGTCCACCCAACGTCTTTATAGTTACTTTTCTAATCTCTTAGGACATCTTATTTCACATATCATTTGCACTTTTTTGGAATTGTCCAAAACCTCACTCCAAGATCTTGTGTTGGAAACTTTCTTGTTTTTCACCCTTCAAATGCCACCACTTGATCTGTGGTGCTCCCATGTGACTTTTTCTCTCTGTTATTCCCTTTATTCTTACATTCATAACCAATACTCTATGTTGGGTAGTCAACCTCTCTCTTGTAATAACTTTACAGTCCAAGCAAATCTTTCTATCTGCCTTCCTAATAAGAAAGAAATCTATGTGAGAATATGTCACCCTGCTTTTATATGTGATAAGATTATCATCTCTTTTCCTAAATCAGGTACTTGCTTAAATAAGATCCAAAGCCGATGAAAACTCTAAGATGGATTTACCATCCGCATTCCCCTTCCCTAGACCATATCCCTCATTCACACTCTCAAAACTTCTTGTTACGCTCCCTACAAAACCATTTAGACTCCTCCTAGAAAATTATTCTCTCCTTGGGGTATTATCCCCAACCCGGTGTGCATAAGCACTAAAAACATTAAAGATGTTTTGTTCCACTATAAATTTCAAGGTTATGATTTGATCTCCTACTCTTTTCACATCCATTATATCCTTCTTCCACTCCTTGTTCACAATAATCCCCGCCCCATTTCTTAATCTAACTTTTCCGGTATACCAAAGCTCAAATATCTTGTAGGAAGATAAATTGATTTTCCTCATAATCATAGTGTCCACTATTTTCATAGATTTTCCACTAAGTGTACCTATATTACCTTATCCAAAACGAATACTACTCTCATGAACTAACTTCTTTACTCACGCATGTTGACGAAAATGTGAGAGCCTGTATTTGTTTTTCACTACATCTAAGCGGCGATACAACGACCCTTACTCTTTTGACATAGTACTTAAGCTATACAACACATTGCTTCTGGAAAACGACCAAACATTCACATTATTTCGTAGTTGATCAATGTCATAGAGATTCGATAAAGTTTTACATCGGTTGTCTAATGTTTAACACAACCTTTTTCTTTTATCTAGGCTTGGGACCGACAATGTATAGAAAATCTAACGTGGGTCGGATTTGCAGGTATGTTATATACAAATAAAAAATAAGTTGTTAGAACTCGTCTTGTAAGACTTGTACAAAAACATTTGTTTCGATCTGAGCCAAATCCTAATCCACATATCTTCAAACAACCCCTAGCACCTGGTAGCGGCCTAACTATTCAGGCTATCAAATGCAATCAATGGTATTAAGACACGTCTTCTCAACGTATCTACTTGATGAACAAATCAAATTCCTTAGGTCTATGGAATGGTTATTCCCTTAGCATCACACTGTATTAAGGCCAACCAAACATCCATTAACGTATTTTCTTTAGAACACAACTGTTCACAAAGAAATTTCTAGTAACACAGAACTTTAAGATAGATCTTTCAAAAAAGTACAATTAATCGTATCTGATAGACCATAGAATATTTTAGATCGCACTTTAAGGGATCTCTTAGCCTTTGATCTCTATGACAGTTGTACCAAACAGAAGGCTTTCGGTCCTTGAAAAACGTAGGACCTTACTATAAAAGGAAGATGGTGAATCAGTCTCATGTACACACATTTATAGCTTAAAACCTCACACTTAAAATGATCACTGACTTGAGTGTCAGAGTGTTTGCATAAACACCTCCACTACCAGACTAAGTTTACTATAGCTCTTTAGAAATCATCTCTAGATCTTTATTCACCAGCAATACATGAAGAAACATCCAGTCTGGATCATTTGGCACAATATGTGGGGATCGTCTTCCAATATTTCTACATTTTCATTCAATGTATATCAGATGATGAACAAGAATAAGAAAGCATCGGCCTCCGTCGGGCCAAGAGATGATCTTTTGTCTCTAGAAAGTTCATTAAACTAATAAAGTGAATCTAGAATCGTCAAATGGGCTAACACCATCATCATTATCTCACAGAGCTCCTGCACCTCCTTCAAGCAATAGAACAAGGAGATGAGGTGAGTTGAGACGGAAAAAAAATTTCCTCTGGCACCACCGTCGGATGCTAAAGGGTAAAATCTAGGCATAATCCACTTATATTTCCTTCACCGATGAATAATATTGACATCTATTTGGGGTCCCAGATCTAGAGCATTAGGCATTCCTATCAACAATAATATCATCTATAAGGACCTTTAAAAAATCAAGGGATGGGAACCTATGACACAATGACAGATCGAGGTCGTGGATGCCCTCCTCAATTTTCAAGATGCCATAGGGCTAGATAAGTGTAAATTATACGTGCTCATTTTGATAGAAGAAGAGATACCTTGGTTCAAGGGTATTAGACTTTAATTCATTAACTCCTAGGAAGAGTTATGAAAACACTTTAAGGCCGACTTCATAGTGTCAAGGAGGCTGCTTAATTGAGTGGGAATCTTGGACATTATCATACAAAAGAAGCATGAACTGATGTGGTCGTACATTGAAAGATTCAACAACGACATTGTCCTGGTAAATGACGTAGATGATAAGATGAAAAAATATTTGTTAGTTTGTGACTTCAAAGAGGGTCGAAGTTCATTACTTACTTGAAAAGGAAAAAAATACATACAGTATTTGGAAAGGCTGGAGGTGAGCATGGTGAATTCTGAGGTGGATAAAAGGCTTGATACAGATAAGAAAAAAGAGTTACAGACAACCGAGAGAACAAAGGGCCTCCCCCATCCAAGTATTTAGATTATACGCCTCTGAAGAGCTCTAGGGGGTGTATCTGTCAAGAGTGCGCCAACACATAGTTTTGATAAGAGCTCTAGGGGGTGTATCTGTCAAGAGTGCACCAACACATAGTTTTGATAACAAGAGCTCTAGGGGGTGTATCTGTCAAGAGTATACCAACACATAGTTTTGATAACAAGAGGTGGAATTTCCAAATAAATAATATGAGAAAGGCAAGAAGCCAAGAATTATTGACATGGTATTAGTAGGTTTTCGATCAAACATTTTTAGGTTAATCTTGGCTTTATTCGGCGATGCCCCACTAGATCTCTCTTGAAATCTTCTCGACAAATCTTAGTTCTCTGTTATCTCTTTCAGGCAGACTTACAATTGTTTCTCGGATTTGTTCTTGGTAGTGCTCCCAAGTTGCAATTTGGT